TCTCGGTTCCGCCAGCCCGTAACGGCGCCCGGTGGGGTTTCCTTCGCGGGGAACCTGCAGGAAGCAGGTATACGACCGGCGAGGTGGGCGGCACGGGAGGGAGGGGGTCAAACAAGCCGCTACTTGTCCGTTGAGGGGCGGGCCGGGCGCATGCGCACTGCGGAGCGAGGCGGTAGGCAGCGGTGGTTGTTGTGGGGCGCGTCACATCTGCTTGGCGGGAGGGGGTAAATATCCAAATAAACGGTTTGTTCTCTCGTTTCCCCGCAGTGGTGTGCAGTGCTTAGCGAAACACCCTGAGAGCTGTGAGTGGCACCGCTGCTTTTCTTTTTCCCCGGAGGCGAAGTGAAGAGGTCAGCATGGTTGAGAACTCTCCAGCCCCGTTGCCCGAAAGAGCAATATATGGATTTGCTCTCTTCTTGGGGTCGTGGTTTGGCTTTAGTAAGTATGTGGTGTGCTAAGTAAGTCACTGAAAAGGGTCGCTGTGCTTAGGAGAAAAATGTAATTCACAGAAGCCCCATGACTTGCCAGATCTGTGAGGTGTTTCTTAGAAAAAACTAGCATTGCTCTAGAACACCTTATTAACAAATAAAAAGATGCTGTAAATAGATTGTAGTTGAGACATAAAGTAAGGGCATTATGTAAATCTTAAACATGTTTTGGAAGTAAGTGGCAATGCAACCAAGCTGCCTACCATTTTTTCTCAGTATTAGTTCCACAGTGAGTCACTGCAGTTCCAGGTTGTGTGTCACTAGTGACTAAGTTGTTCATCCTGGGTTTTGTTAAAACTTGCTCTGAATTTGTTGTTAGGGGGATTTTTTTTCTTTCTGAATTTGTTTCTTCCATCTGAGCCCTGCAGTTCTACCAACCCTTCTTTTAGTCATGTGACATTGTATTTTAATATTTGTGTGAAGAGTCGCATGGCATGCTTTTGCTGAGTCTTTCTGTTGTAGTTCTTAGTGCACAAAATTTCTGTCTGTCAACATAGGGAATTAAAAATTAAATCTTAAAGTAAATACAAAAGTGGTAGCATATAATCAGCTACAAAAAGTTGTCCCTATACTGTGCAGCTTTTGTGCATGAGTTGTGTGTTCTGCCACGTTGTGGTAGAGCTACTTGGGTTTAAAATGTGTAAAGGCAAAATATTATGACAGTATGTATTGGTATGGAAATAAAACTTAAAACTTAACTGTAAAACTTACAGTATCACTTGCACTGATAACAGTTTTTTTTTCTTTGGTACAGTTCTGTACCTTATCTGGGCATACATTCCTGAGACTTGGCTATTCTCATTGGGACTAACATACTGGCCTCAAAAGTAAGTTCAGACAATTAAAAACTCTTAAGCCTGAGGGAAAAAAATATCTATCTATCTATCTATCTATCTATATAAATGCATATTTATAATATACAAATATATGTATATTCATATAAAACATATATGAATATGTATTTATTCATATGTAATATATAATTATATGAAAATATATAATATATTTGCCTGAAATTTTCAGGCTTAAAAGTGTTCAGGGTGTTACAAATGCATACACATGCACACACATATGTATGTATGTATGCATTTATAACACTGTGAGTTTCTCTATTTGGTATTTGAAATTATACTTTTATTTTTCAAATAGTCGCCTTATATTTAGTTTGTTTTTCCCAGTGGTAAAGGCCTGGTGTTTTTTTGTGAAGCATTATTTTATACCACTAAATAATTATTGTAAGGAAAGACATTGTGTGATGAAAGATACAATATAAATTTCAGTGTTTTATAAGTTTGTAATTTAATATTAACCAAGTTTGCTGATGTGAATACAGTGAATTTTAAGTTTTATGTTTAGAAAAAAAAAAGGTGTTTTTTTTTTTTGCCTGTTCTAGCAGATTGGCCACAGTGACTCTGTAGTCTTGGGAGAAACAGGGTCCATACTTAGTGGAGGTGTTTTCTTAATCCTATCTGAGTTTATGCTGGATACCATAACAGCCAATGTGTTACAATTATTATGTCATTGGACACTTTGTAAATATTATGTGCAAGTTTTAAATTTTTATTTTTCAGGTACTGGGCAGTTGCTGTGCCTGCGTATCTACTAGTTACTATTGGAATCGGCTATGTATTACTTTTTGGTATGAACATGATGAGTACAGCTCCACTCAACTCTACACATACTATTACTGGTAATGTTGTTGTGCTTTCTGGAGGATTTTGATACTTAACTGGCTATATATATGCACCTACATGCATGCGTATATATTTTTATATATGCATATATATTTATATGCATGTACACATCTTCACACATGTAAGTTTAAATAATATGACACAAATTTTAAGCAGTTATCTTCTCAGCTGAGTTAAGTAGGAGAGGAGTTTCTGGAAACACTTAATGTACTGGAGCCAAAAGATAAACACGAACTTGACTCTTCTTATTTTTACTATCTTATGACAATAGTTTTCAACTAATAAAACGTAGTCTGCTGATAAAATGAGCACCATGAGGAAACAGTATTATTTTATAGTGAACTGCAAACAAAAAAAAAGAAAAGAAGTCGGTCAAGGCTCTAGTTTAAATGTTGTACTCCAGTGCTTCTCCCAAAAGCTATAGTTGAGTTTTCCGTGCACTCTTAGCTGTCCACTCAGTCACGTGTCGTCATCTCAGTTTGTGTGAAGCCAAGAGTTTGTGTGGCTGCACAACAGATGGGATAGGAGAACGGCTGTCCTAAAAGGAACTATCTCGTCAGCTTTTTCCAGAAGGATCAAGTTTTCTAATTTTGTTCAACATACAACCGGAAGAATGTTCATGCTGATACAAGGAAGGGAGCTGCGTGGTGATGGCAACAGGCCACCAACATAAACTACATTTCACAGTGGAAGTTCTAATATAAATTGTTCAAACAACAGCCTAAACCATTGGAGAGGGGAGATGGGGTGGCTGTTTGTTTGTTTCCTATGCTTAGTTATTGTCATACAGAATCTCAAATGAAGTACCAGATAGTGATTCCAGCAGGAAGGCAGGGTTGATTTCTCCAGTGACTTTGTGTTTCTGAATTGCTTTCTAGCTGCTTTCTAAGCAATTTGGAGTGCTTTTGGCAATACTTACACTAGCTAAATGTGTAGAACGGTGCATTTCTTATCCTTAAAGAAATAATGTCTTTTAATACACGGAATGTGTTTATTGTTTTCTATAGATAACTATGCAAAAAAGCAACAACAGAAGAAATTTCAAGAAGAAGCAATTCCTGCATTAAGGGATATTTCCATCAGTGAAGTAAACAGGATGTTTTTCCTTCCTGAAAAAGACATCTCCAATAACAAATAATTATATTTAAGGTCTATCTAAATCAAGTATTAGTACCAACACTGCAGAAGTGAAAGGCAAAAGCAAAATCTGTTCATGTCAAGAGAAGATACTTTCTGCTAATATAAGAAATGTTTTCTTCTGAGTTTCTATCTTGAAACATATCTTATGTAAACATACTTGATATTTGAGATGGCTGAGTTTTGTGAAAGGGCCTCAGTAGTCTGCTTTGGTCTGAGAATAATGCCAGATTAATTTAATTTAACCTTCTTGTGATTTAAAGGAAATACTATGTTAACTTATAGGTTGCTGCTATATTTTTCCCTCTGAGTGTAAAAAAAAAAAAAAAAAAAAAAAAAGTCTCATTCAAATGTGTTTTTCACAGAATTCAGGGAGATTGAATGTACTCTGCTAGACTAATGCTTGAGGCTCTTGAAATTATGAAATCTCTCCAGTTTACTTGTTTGTCTGTTTTTTTTTTTGTTTTTTTTTTTTTGGTTTACAAGTCACATAACACTGAAGTGTTTCCATTTTAAAACACAGTTTGTGTTTGTAAATAGTAATAAAGTACAGTTATTTTTACTCATTTTAAGTTATCTTTTTTTCTGTTGTTCTGAAATGTTTGTCTGGGGTCAAGGTATATAGAAGTAGATTTTCTTTACACTTGACAATCTGTTGATTTTTCTGCAAATTGGTTAGGACTTGTTTCCAGTAATCTTGGTATTTTAAAAAGGAAGATTACTGGAACACAAGTTGAAACAACCAACATTACTGGAAACAAGCTGTGAAGATTTTCTGCAGCAAGTCCTAAAAATGGTTTTTTTTATGTTCATCCTTAAAAATACAGAAGAAATACAGAAACTGTAGTCTAGATCATAATGCAAAGCACATGTAGTTGTTTCACCAGTGATTCAGACATTTCTTCAGCAGTGCAAAGCATTTCTTTGTTTTCATATTTGTGTTAATGAGGAGACAGACAATACGTATTTACATCTGAGAGTCAAAAATGTAGTTATTACTGCTTTTTAAAGTATATATATTTTCAGTAGTAGTGAATATTAGTCATTTTCCTTGTAAAGACGAGTAAACAAGGCCTTATTCTGACTTGTTAAGTCTACAAGCCCACTTCTGATGCCAGAGAATAGAATTACAGAAATCCCTGTTTCATTAGAAGAATATAGAGCTTTCTGAAAATTTATGTACGAAGGCTCTTGGGCCTTTAGAAATAATTCAAAACAGCCATGCATTTCTGTGGGAAAATTTATGACCAGGTGGCAATCCATCAGCTTAGTGCAACTCTGAAAGTTGCTGTTTCTTGATCCTCTAATAGTTTGCTACTTTCCCCTTTATCTAATCAAAACAAAACAAAAAAAAAGCTCGGTCCTACAGCTATGAAGAGAAAAATACCTTCTTAATTTAGCGAAAAAAAAGCTGTTTGCAATTTCACTCTGAAGCAGTAATATTCTGATATATAGCTGTTAAGGAGCATTTTCTGAAAATGTGTCTGCCTAATGACTGTAAATAAATATCATGCTTATTTGCTTGATAGTTTTAGGTTGTTGTGTGTATGTTTGTGCACACATGTGCTTTTTCAACTTGTCCCCCATTACTGTCATTGTCTTGTCCCCCCTCCTGTTCTTGCATTTCTATTTTCTTCAACTTATGCCTTCATACACCCATATGTAGAGTCAATTCAAGATTTTATGGTTAGCACACATGAAGATGTGTTTACTCTTTTGTCAGTAGTCTAAGCACAGAAATATTGACTGCAGAGTCATCTTTTCTTGTGTATTTTCTGGCTGTGTTGTATGTTCTTTTTGATTTCTGAGAAAGCAATTTCCTTTAATTCTAAAGGGGCAACCAGTGAAGACTATATTGCTGCTATCATTCAATGCAAGGATTAGTTTAGCCCCAGTTAAGGATACCCAAATCTCTCTGGGATCAAGAAAAGCTACTGAAACATGCCCTCAAGTCCTGAAAGCACACAAATTAAAGGGCTGTAAACCTTGGACAAAGATTTTATCAGTGATGAATCTGCTGTTTCATTTGACTACTGACCTCACAGTTATGGGAAAACTAACTGAAGCATCTCTGGGAATAGACAAACTGGGGCCATTTGTTTAAGTAAAATTTGCAGGCATGAAACTCAATCTTTGCTTTTCTATCACTGCCATGTGACAGTGCTTCAAAGACACTGTAGTGACCTTTTCTTCAACTTGAGCAGTCTTTGATGCGTCAGGAGTTGCCTCTGTCACCAAAACAAAGTTAGGTAACATTTACAGTGTAGGTTCTTTAATAAATCTGTTTAGGATTTTTGTTTGTTTGTTTTTCCCTAGTGGATTTGTAGGTGTTTGTGATCCAACCTTTTAAACGCTTGCATATAGGTGTGATTAAGGATGCACAGCCCTACTAGTCTAGCAGAGGAGAGATTATTCCATTTGTAAAGATGCAGCATCCTTTTGGCTACGGGTGTTTAGTGAGTTTTATGTAGATTTTGCCTTAGGGATTATTCCAAAACAATTTGAAATGACTACAATGTGTTGACGGCACATTGTTTTTACTTTTAACAAAACATGCCCATTTAATGACATTAAGTATTAGATAGCCATTCTCCTCTTAGTTTGACCTGAATAAAGCTGAAAAAAGTCTCTATTTTTATCCTTCAAACTTAGTGGTGCCCTATGGTTGTAGTGAAAGCAGTAGTAAGCAGTAGAGTTAGACCAACTGCTTTGTTCCCGTTGAAGTATGATAATGATAAAGGGTCAACAATGCTTTTTAATGCAACTTCTTGGATTTTTAGGAAGCTTTCATTGAAGTGGGCATTCGTGGTGCTTTATACAATTTGGCGTAAAAAAACTTCATATTGTAAGTTCCCCGAAGACAGTAATTGAATGTATGTGTCAAACTGTCATTAAAAAAAAAAATCAAAGGTGCACTGTTTCAAATGAAAAAGTTGTATGCCTGTGAAAGTAGTGGGGCAGCAATTACCAAATTTGTTTGTATAGTAATGACAGAGCTCAAGTCTCTCTCCTTTCTGTCTTAGCTGTAGAGAAGGGTAGCAGTGATGCAGATAGTGTGTTTACGATATTGAAGCTGAGTCGATGCTTAATTCAGAAAAAGAAATTGGGAGTAGAGAGTCATGCAAACACTCAGTTTGCATGGAAAATTGCAGTTCTTTTGATCTTTGGTCTTTTGTCACATTGCACTATATAGAATGCCATGAACTTCAACGCTTCAGGGCAAATGTGTGGTATATGTGTATCAAGTAGCAGATCACCAAAAATTCCTTTGTATCCAGATAATTTCAATTTTTATTGTAAGAAATTAATGCAAGAATTTGGCCACTGACATTGGGATAACCTACAACAGACAAGAAAAACAGAGGAACAAAATATGCAAGCAAGTAGTACAAAAAGCTAGCACAACTTTGTATTTCTTTGTGTTCACTCTTCCTACCAGTAGGGTGACCCACACAGGATAAGGAAAGAAAAAGAAGCATGGAATCTCCCATTTTATTTCAGTGAATGACCACAGCAGCAATGTCCTTGCAGAAAACTGTACCAAGGAAATAAATGTCTTCTGACAGCAGTAAAATGCCTTGCAGGTAAGCACTGCTGTTAAAAGCAGGCCATCCTTAACTGCACCATTCCTAAAGCATTCTGACGTGACCAGACCATCTTCAAACTATGTTGAACTTAACAGGGAAATCTGCCAATTTGATGGACTTTAAAACAATTATGGTATGTCATTTGGAAGGGGACAATTGACTAAAAAGTGAGTAACATATTTTTCTAGGCTTGGTTTGAAAAAAGTCCAGCTATCAGTAGCTACAAGCAAAGACACTGTCACATAAACCAGTAATAGGGTATCTTTTTCCTGTTCCTGTAGGCAGGGTTTCTGTAAGATTAGAAATCAGCCTGAATCAAAATGGCTTATAATGCTCACAATGTGTAGGCCTGAGATTTTCCTGAGAGTAGGAGAAAGAAGGAAAAGGAGAGAGAGAGGGAGGGAAGGAAAATTCACATCTCTGGTGAAGCTCTCACCTTCAGGTACAATGACAGGCTCAATATTAAAGTTAAGAAAGACATTTTGAATGCTTGGTTTCTGTACAAGGCAGTTCCTATGGACTCCCATTTCATTTGTGGGTACAAATAATAAAGTATTCTTGGTTTACGATCAGCATAATTAATACAGGATTTCTGTGTGAATATCTTTGATTGCATAATGTACCTCTTATTCGCACGTTACTCTGAGTGCTTAAAATTCTTGATGTAAAATCCTGCTTGCTTGTATACTGCTATGGTTTTGGTCAGCTCTAGAACAACTGAAATAATTTTTTAATCTCTTTCTTTTTTATGAATTGAGCTGTGTTATAAGCAGGAGGCTTTGGAAACATTTAGTCTTCTTGTGCCAGTGTCATTAAAGAAAGATTGCCAAGTACACTTGGTTGGTATGCTGTGCAATATTACAGAATCGCAGACTGGTTGAGGTTGGAAGGGACCTCTAGAGATCATCTAGTCCAACCCTGCTGCTCCAGCAGGGACACCTAGAGCACGTGGCACAGGGTGGCATCCAGGCGGGTTTGGAAGATCTCCAGAGAAGGAGACTCCACAACCTCTCTGGGCAGCCTGTTCCAGGGCTCAGTCCTCCTCACTGGAAAGAAGTTCTTCCTCATGTGCAGGTGGAACTTCCTGTGTTTCAGCTTGCACTCATTACCCCTTTTCCTGTCACTGGCCACCACACAGAAGAGTTTGGCCCCATCCCTTTTACATTCTCCCCTCAGGTACTTGTA